TTAAAATATAATTATAAATATAGTTTTTATTTTCATACTTTTATATCATTCAAAAAACATTCAAAATAATAATTACACACTTTGTGTTTTTATTAAAAAGAACGGATTATTATATATCCAATTGAAAATAAAATGAACAATCTTTTGGTTTTGTAAGATTAATAATGCCTTTTGAAATAGGATAATTAAAACATAAACAATAACATCATGAACACGATTAAAATAATATAACAACTTTGTAAATATTTAATTGTTTTAGGAAAAATGTACAAAATGGTATATTTTCAAATTCCAATAATGCTTCAAAATTGCACTTAAAAACAATTAAAATTATTTTCGTATCTTTTACAAACTTGAAAATTTCATATCTTATTGCTTTAATGGCAAAGAAAACAGTGACTTTAAGCCAAATATTTGAACGTGCAGTGAACGAACTTAATAGCTCTCCACAGATAAAAAGTTTCGAGGTTATTGCAAAAATTGTCCATAACATTTTACAAAGTGCTGCATGTTTGCGGAATCAAATTGTTTTAAAAATGAAAGCTTTTCACAATAAATTTCTTTCAAATTTAGAAATGTATTATGTTCTTTGTCTAATGGACTATGTGGTAAAAAGAGAAACAAGTTTCAGGAAGCAAATGGTAGATCTTGATTTGATTGAATGGTTTGAGTGTATTGCCAATTTTAAAGTTTGTTTTAGTTAAATTACATTCATATTACCACAAAAACAAAACTGATATTGTTTTTGATTGTTAAATAACACTTTAAAACAAAAACTTACAAAAAGAGATATAAAAAGGTACAAAAAGTCGATATTGTAACAGATAAAATGATGCGAATTGTTCAAACATGGGGTATTCTATTTCCTGTTGAACTTATTGACTACATTAATATGTACAACCGTACCCAGAAGAAAGGTGTTGTATTTGTTAAACCCACTACTACTGACTTTGAATTATATATTCAACCGCCTGATGGTATTCAGAATTGCATTGATCAAATATCAGAAACGATAAAAATGATCGACGACACTTTGGAACATATTTATGACAATGAATGTCGTGTGAAATCCGCTCAAGTGATATTTCAACACTCCAAAATGGTCAAAACACAACATGAATAATATATAGAAACCTTTAAACAAACGAATGAAATTGAAGAAGAACAAAATATGAAAATTACAGAATTACTTAAAATTATTGAAATAAAGATTGAAAAACTGTATAAAGTTCTCAAAACTGATATATCTGAACTTAAAAACATAAAAGGTTGTTCAACACTACAAATTTTTTTTCAGAGTCTTAATCTTCAAGACCACAAACAATATTAAGTGAAAGTAAATCGGTAAATGATGAAATAATGGGATTAATTAATCCAAAACCAAAAAGAAAATCTTTGGTTTCTTCATTTGTTGATCTTGTTAAGAAAAAAAGAGCAAGTACTTCTCTTCTTGATAATTAAAAGTGACTTTTCATTAATTTGTTTTTTATTATAAAAGCATTATACTAATACATTTTCAAGTTTTTATTTCAACTTAAAGCAATTTTATTATGTAATTACTGTTGAGATGTATATTTATACAATTTTTATGTTATTATTTGAACACCAAGATTTTCAATTATTAAAAAAATGGGTATTTGCCAACTTTTATTAATATTGTAAACTATTTTAAAGTAAATTATAATATAATAATAAAACTTTACAATAAATGCAACATGTATATAAACAACTTTTCAATATTCAATTTAAATTCCCTCGTTTTCCATTTTAATCTCCCGAAAGATTTCGCCATAGTTTTCAATAAGTCTTTTAATAACAACATTAAACTCATTCAATTCGTTTTTACCCTTTTCTGAAGTGTTTGAAATATCCGTATAAATCAGAGAAGGTCCAAAAACAATTGACAAATTTTCTGCATTCATCAAATTGACTTCATTATGTTTTACGACCAAATTCAAATAGTCGAAAATGTACCACAAACAGTTCTTGTTGATTGATGGTAATTCATTAATAACCTTTTTCATTTTCTTGATGAAAACATTATTCTCTTCTAATGCACATGCTTTAATTTTGTCATTAAATTCCATAGGAAAAATTGGTTCATCAAGTGTTCTCAAATATTCTTTCAAAACCCCTGCTGCGACATGCACTCCTTTAAATGTGAATGTCTCAGCAGTCAAGTCTGTGTTCATAATAAGTCTGACTCTCTCCCTTTCTGTTTCTTTACAACTTGTCCTGAATATCCCCTGTACAAAATGCGCCTCATTATATCTAAGATACTGTATCGACCTAAAAATTGGTGTTGGGAACCTCCACGCGCTTTTTAAAACAGAAACACGAAGAGGGTATCCATAAGTCCCTATTACTTTCATGTTTAATCCCAAGACGGTTAACATATTTATAAATTGACTGTTGTTTGGAATATAAAAAACAAAGGTGTCTTTGTCAAAGTTAATTTGGAAATACAAATTCTTCCAATTTGGGTCGTTTGTCTCTGGTTTTTCTGGGATAAGTGGACTCGAACGTTGGAGTGTGCAATGTGTAATATCTATTTTGTGTTTATGTTTGCTTTTCACAGTCACAGTCAATGTCGGATATTGAAACGATATCAAACAGTCTTTCATATCGTGTTTATTCTTTTTGAATTGGGCTTCGATGTTTCCAGTGTCTAAACGTGTTGAATTAAATAAACTCATTTTGAAACGAATTATTAGTTTAATAATGGACTTTCAAAATATTTTTTTAGGTCAAAATCTTAAGTTATTTTTCTGTGAAGAAGAATTTAATTTTTGAGGTTTCCTATTTGGCGTGAGGTTGAATTGTTTTTATATAATTAAAACAATATATATTTATAATAATAAACAATTGATTAATATAATAAAACTATTTCTAAAATAAAAGATCTATAAAAAAATAAACAACAAGCTTTATTATATATTATTTTAAAAATGGTTAAATTTTATTAGAGTAAATATAATACTGTTTATAGTTTTTCACAACTTATAATACTAATACATTCTTCTTTATGTTTTTCAGTAATAAAACTAATAATAATCAATATTATTATGATACGAAAAATTATTTAATTATTTGTTTTCCACAAATAATTGTTATTAATGAATATTAATAATATTATAATATATTAACTAATTGTTATTATGTTATAAATATCTAAAAATAATAAAACTATATATTAATTAACATTTAAATTAATAGTATAATTTAATATTTTTTTTTTAATCACAAAAAATAGTTAGAATAAAA